TATTATTGCTATGGCTTGACTGATTTTACCACCACAATGTACGCTTGATTACTTGTATTTCTGGGGTGGTGTGCACTTTTTTTAATATTAGATTCACTTGTTTCTTACCTTAGCTGACAAATTACTTTATATTGTTTTTCCCCAGTCTGCTTTTCATTAAAAAAAAAAAAAAAAAAGTAGTTGGCAAGCTATTGTGAGCACTTAATAAATTCTGCTATTTCCCATGCAATATTTTGGTTTTAAATCATGTATACAAATTTTCTGTGGCATAGTGTTGGAAACTGCATCCAGCTCAAATCTGTTCTTTATTTCTTCAGAGTCCTCAAACCTGTCTTTCTGTGAGGATGAATCTTGCACGTATTGGCCTCTTCAGCACCTTTGTGGCCTCAGACCAAACCCAGATCACTCATTTTTTCCTCGAAGATGCCCCAGCTGTACTGTACCACACAGCTGTTCCTGCTGTTGGTAAACTCAGTCTGCACATAATAAGCTGGGTCATATATTTTCCATCACTTCATCTCTCCCTCTTCCCCCCAGAAAACACAAGCTTTCCTTTAAATGCCTCATGCTAGAGAAGATTTAATCTGACCATTTCTCCATCCCCTCATGGGTCTGCATAAAACCTGTTTGCCTCCTTGCTTTCCCTCATCTCCTGTTCATCAGCCATTCCTCTTGAATTTTTACCCACAGAAACTGTATTTTCCATGTGTTGTATCTGTTGAGAACCTGGTTTTCAAGGTCAGCTATGTATCTGTGGCCCCTGTGACTGTACTGAAATTTACCTTTCCAGCCCAAACCAACTTTATGGCATGAATAATAAAGTAAAAAAAAGTCTGATGTGGGTTCGTGTAAGACTTTTAATGTTGTAGTGCAAAGACAAGGAGATCTTAGGGCCTCTCTGTTGCAGGTGTTCTCATGTGAATTCATGGACCTATGGTGTAAGCAAGCATCTTGATGTCCTGGCAGGTTGCAGTGGCTAGGCACAACAGGTACCTCTGTGCTGTGTGGAAGAGCCTCTATAGTACAAGATTTTGAGCATGGAGATGTGAGAAGATCTGACCACAGCTTTATATCAAGGTTGTATTATTCACAGGCTAGGAACACAGAGCAGCCCTAACACATGCGTGTTAGCTTTCTTGTTTTCCTGCCAGGTGATGCAAGTGTGTCTGTGTTAGGAAATGCAGTTAGCTCACCATTTTTGGAAGTGGCTATAGAGGTTTTGAGTGCCAATGCTGGGATCCTGTGGAAAGTCAGGATTTTTCCGCAGCAGATTTCTTATGGATTTATCAAATCATGCAGGAAGTTACTGCTCCTATTTGTTGTTAATCCTGTTAAGATTTGTTAATAATGTAGGAACAAAGACAGAAAATGGGCTAAGACCTGCATGTGTGTTAGGGGTCTCTGCCCCAGATGTGCTACTTCCAATGATGCTCAATTGAAAATCCATCTCCTGGCCTTGTAGGAAGCATGTGCTTCTACAAAAGGCCCCAGATTGATCGACTAAAATGAAATTAATCTTCCTACCTTCTGTCCACAGCAACTTAATGTCCAATAAATACAGCTGAGAAGGATGTAGGACATTTCGATTCTTGACACCTTACTCATACCTTCAGATGCCACCAGTTTATTTTCCTTTAGTGGCAGCCTATTTGGAAAATCCTTTCCTAGGAGTCCACATGCTTTCCTGTCCCTCGTGTACAGTGCTCAGTACATTTTCTTTCTTTCCACTTTCAAATCTGGAAGGTAGTGTTAACACTTAAAAATAAATGTGTGATAGTGGGTGTGAAGAGGGAATGGGGAGAACAAGTTTTCCGTCTGTCAAAATGAAGACATCAACCTCTGCTTTTATTTTTTTGGCATGTGTGCCTTAAATAGAATGACTGGGTTGGGTGACTTCCAAGTGTTTGCTACATTTGGCAATCCTTCTAAATTGTAACAGATGAAGTTCTGCTATTCCATATGATACGCTCCTTCCCCCTTTTTTCGGTGACTCTGTGAAGCTCCTTGGGAATTCAGCACAGTGTTCACATCTGTTCCGTGGATGGATGTCCAAGGCTAACAAAATGCCTACTGGACTCAGAATTATCTCTGCCAAAAGCCATATGGTTGTGTTTTAGTTTTGCAAGCACAGTGCAGTAAAGAAAGGATGGTGGGCCAAGAGAGAAGGGGAGGGGAGGCATGGAGCTTGAAGGTAAGCTTCTTGTCAGTCGATATTAGATTGGGTAGATGAGCAGGTCACAGAAAAGTAGAAAGTGAGTACAGATTAATTTTCCAGGTGTTTTGAGTTATGTGACAGTCATTTACCCAATAGGCTGTCCAGGGAAGTGGTGGGGCCACTGTTCCTGGAGGCATTCAGGAACCATGGAGATGTGGCACTGAGGGATGTGGTCAGTGGGCATGGTGGGAATGGGTCAGTGGTCGGGCTAGGTGACCTTAATGGTCTTTTTCTAACCTTTGTGATTCTGTGATCTTCTTCACGTGCTGCTGTTGAGCATAACCTCATAGCATGTTTACTCTTGCCTACTACTTCCAAAATACTGTAACAATGTGGATAATTGGATGCTCCCTTTTGGCCTTACAAACATGCATCGGCTGACACTTCTCTGAATCATCAGCACACGATCTCCCATTCAGGTTGTTCTGATTTTATTGGAGAGTGTAACTCATGGAGAACTCTGACCTGCTGCAACTTGAGAAGGAGCTTAAACCAAATGCCCCATCCTTCCAGGTCCAGCAAATGCAAGGTGGGAACTGTGTTGCTGATGTATCATAAAGCAAGACAATGTGAATTCTTGCATTTCTCTTGAGAATTTGAAAGTTGGAGTTTGGTGAAATTTAAATTTCAAGTTGAAGATGATGAGCAGAAATAGGGACCTGAAAAGTTTCAGAATTTTGGAGCCATTATGTTTAGGTGTAGCAGTTGGGCACCGTGCTTTCCAATGAACTGCAGTGTATGAACATGTAGACTAGAGCAAGCATCCCAGTTTTAGAGCAGTCTGATTTTTCTTGGTTTTTTTTTTTTCCCTCTGAAATTGCTTTTAGATGTTATTGCCAGTTCTGAGTTATTTCTGTGGAGCAGTGTTAGCAGGCTAACTGTGGAGTTGACCTCACAGTACAGGACATAAGCAAAGATGTGTCGGGAGACAGACTTGACCCAAAGGCTTTTCAGTGTTAAGCAGACGGAACAGTCAAATGGTGAGAGAGAAGACGGGTTGCTGACATGGACTTTTGGGATGAGAGCAGTGCTGGCAGCCTGGAGCCTTCTCCTCCTTTTCTTTCTTGACCAGTTACTCCCTGACAGATGCTGAACTGCTCAACAAAGTTAATATTTGGCAGGCTGTGGAGGATGTGCGGGCTCCAGCTGAAATACAGCTGCTGTCAGGATAGGCTGCCATTATACTGCATAGAGTTTGAGGTCAGTAAGGTGGATTTGGAGAAGCGGCTCAGTTTCCCAGGAAATGTCCATTTGACTTCTTGGTGCTATTAGGCACTGCACAGACTCTCAGTGGCATTCACACATTTGTGTCATTGCAGTGCTTTTGAAATCCCATTCTAAAGAAAAAATAAAATTCAAAGCAGTGAGTGTAAGTAATGAAATTGTATTTTGGTCAGCATCAAAGGAGTATGAAGCTTTTCCTTTGTGAAGAGGAATGTGCAGAGTTCATGTACAAATACTGTTTCTTCTCACCCCAAAGAACAAGTGCAGTTTGAGGAAGTAGCTTTGAGCCTAAGAGGGCATTTGTTCAGTTCTGAATTAAAATTAGCACAGCCGCTTCTTTACCAGTGTTTTACAAAGACGAACAGCAGTAGCATAAGCTATAATTGGAGCTTGTGAGCAACTCATCTGTTCTTACCCAGAAATAATACCAGAATGAACTCTTGTGCCTTCATAGAGTTATGTGGGTTTGATGGATGTGCATCCTTTCCTTTTGTTCCTGCATTTGAGCAGAAGAAGCGTCCTGAGAGTTTGCTTCGGATCTACTTAGGAGGCAGGTTTCAGAGATGTGGGCACTTTGTTTTTCAAAGTTTTCCTGTGTATTGATATTTCGAGAGCAGTTCAGATTAATCAAACAGTAAGCCTCACGTTTGAGGTAAGAACACTCAAATCTGAATGCTGAATCAAGAGTGCATTTTTTCATGTGTGCATATTTCATGTGTGTGTTTTCTTTTGAAATGTTTAAGTACATTTACTGTATATTTACTGTACAGGAAGGGACAAGATGGCCCCTTGTTCAGCACTGTATGGTACCTGCAGGTGCAGGCAGGCCCCCCCACAGAGCTTTGGAGTTCTTGCTTGCTGTCTGTAAAACCTTTCTGGGGTTGCCCATTTTGTGATAAGTGGGAGGAGAGTCAGGGAGGCCAGCAACAATCATCTTAACCCAGGACTGAACTCCTCCCTGCACGTGAGGATGTGTTGCCTGTTGGACTTGCTCTTCCTCTCCCTTGTGATTGCAGTGCCTTGGCTCTAGCACGGACAATTCCCAAACACATCCAAATGCTCCTCATGGTTTTTAAGACAGTTTTTGTTCCAACAACTTCCTTTCTAAATTCCAGCCTCTTCTTGTTCACCATGGAACTATCTTTATTCCTGTCTCCAAATGCAGTTGTATCTGTGGCAACAGCAGTTATAGCCTATGTGGTAATACCCACGAGGAAGTAGAGAGCACGGAAATGGTTTGTCTGTTTGTGGCTAGTGATGGTTCAGTGCTCTTAAGTTACTGGCTATGGGGACTGGCCCCCGGTACCTAAATGGGGACTTAAATGTAAGTATATGTTTATATTGCTTGCAGGATTTTAAACACGTGCTTAAGTTCATGTAGCTGGAACACATGGTTTGCAGATGCCTAGTCCTGCTCTATTCCTCCCACAGCTGGAGAACTCTCATCTAGAATTATTTTTAATACAGTTATTCCCTTAATTCACGTGCATGTCTTGAGTTTGTCGTAATATCTTAATTACAACTAACGTTTGTGTTGTTCTTTTCTGCTTGTGTCAAACAGGGTGCCCTCACTGTAAAAATGCCATTCCACATTTTACAACTGCTGCCGAAGTCTTTAAAGAAGATCGAAAGGTAACTAATTTGCTGTTGATCATTTTGGAGATATTTAAAAACTTTCCATCTGTGCTTTGCAAGCTTTACTTACCAATGAGGTGGTAGGCTTGCAGGTAAAATTGCTATTGAACTAATGGACGTGTATGTGCATCTGAAGGGCTGTATCTTTTGGGTCAAGCTGATTTATACTTTTAACAGCTTCTTTGTTTTCTTTTATTTGTTTTACTTTCTGTTCAATCCTTTGTGCAAGAGTTTTTTTCTATGAAGCGAGGCACATTGTTTCTCAGTGAAAGATTAATAAAAGATAATTCACACTTTCTGCATTCCCCTTCAACTTTTGTCAGGCATAAACCACAAGTTTTGTGACGGGCTTGAGGATCTCCGTCGTATAACTAACCCTTGCTTGCATAAATATATTACATTCCTGTTGGTTGGCTGGCTTGAGTCTGGGATGTTGTGCCCTTCTTAAAGGCCTTCATACTTCTGCCTTGAAGGTTCATCTGATGGCCAAAGCGCAACATTTTGTTTTCCTGCATCAGCTGAGCCATTTTAACTGAGGGCATGCATGTCTGGGATTAAAAAAAACAAAAACCTAAACCACTGGCTTAAGCAGATAACTGCTTAGAAACATGCTTATTATCTCTGTGAACTGTATTTCAGTCTGTTCTCTGTTTGTTCTACTGCCATGGTGGCTCTGCGTTTGGCTGTGGCAGGGAAAAGGTTCAATTCAGTAGGAAAATGAAGAGGTAATTTTAAAACAGTTACACCCCTGTGAGTCTGCCTGCTGCCACAAGGGATGAATTTGTGATGCTTTTTTCTCTTCCCTGTGTTTTTTCTTCTGTAGCTCACAGAAGCTACGGATTGTCAAGAAAGAAATCATTCCTCTAGCACCAAATGCATCTAATCAGCAGTCCCTCACTTACACCCTCATGCCCAGGTTGCACATGGAAGATTGAGAGGCATGCAGCTCTCACTTCTCTTACTGCTGTAAATCAGTGCCTTTTGATTTCTTGTTTCTGCTAAGAACGTATCCTTGTTTTCCCACCTTCCTGTACTTTCTTCCTAAATTCATTAAAATTTCACCCAGAGGAGATGAAGCAAATATCCCACACAATGTGAAGCTTGTTTATCAGAGCCCCAGGATGTATTAGCAACCTATGTGAATCATAGCACGGTTTATTGTATGTTATTGGACATAGTGGTGATAAATGCAGGTTTGTGAAGGTTCTGGCTTGGGCTGCAGGTTATGAGAGGGCTCAGAACAAAGCTGTGGTTGGCAGTTGCAGTTCTTGATTTCAGTGTAAGGCTGAAGTAGAGAAGTATAAAATGTAATGAGTTGGAACAGGAGGGCCAGTAGGGAATATGAGGACTGGTGTAATTTTGGGGAGGTGTGTGCAGTTAGGGAAAATGATGTTATTCCATCCTAGTGACTTACGAAAGTGCCAGGGATTGATTATCTGGGGAACACTGTTGAATTGTGTGCAGCCATAACCTGACAAGGTTTCTTGCTTCCAGTAGTTGCCCTTGTGAGAAAGAAAACAAGTCTACTTAAAACTTAAAGGTGCCCAGCTGTTCCCACAAGCCATGCTGGGCAAATCCCCATGTTTCAGACTGGCTAAGCCTAAACATTTTGCTAATTTGTGCTTCTGTGGGGTTTGAAACTTCTCTAAAAATAATGCTTAAAGAGAAGTGCTTTTTCCCCCAGAAACATAGAAGAATTACTAAGCATATTCCTTTTGAGTCTATAGTTCTGGCTTCTGTCTTTTCTTTTTCTTTCCCCGGAGGGAGATTTTTTCACTTTACAGAAGTAGCATTTAAACCATATCTTCTTTCCAGCAGGGGTGGTCCCTTAATTAAACATTTAATTCTACAGAAGCCAAAGAAAAATGAAAAACATTCCAGCTGCGAATGGTTGCAAATGGTATCTTAACAGGTGTCCTCTGGGAGACTTTGCGTGTTTACATAGGAATTTTAAAGACAAACAGAACTTGAAGCTGCTAAAACCTGTCTCTGGCTCTTGGGATTGGCAGTAACAGGGTGCTTTTGGTGCAGCATCCCCCATAGAAATGTGTGTGGCACTGTGTGCTTTTAGATCATCCACACTGCCAGAGTCAGAGTTCAGAAATGCTGTGCTTGGAACGTTGGCTCCATGTGTCAGTTTGGTGGCTATGTCACGTCACTGCTGGTAGAAGCAGGGAGCCTGGGTCCTGGCCTAAGAGCACAGCCCTAGGTCTAACCAGGGAGGACTCTTGCAGAGCTCAGGCTGCCTGCGTGGCTTTGTGGGCCTGAAGGCATTCAGTGTCAGGAAGAGCAGATGTGGGATAGGCTGGTCCAGTGAGGCAGCTAGCGTGTTGCTTTCAGTTATTTGAAAAGAAAGAAAGAAGAAAAAAAGCCATGTGGAATGTTCTTGCCTTAGGGGGCTGTGGCCTTTGCATCCAGCTGTTAAGGGAAAGCCTTTGGCCTCTGTTTTGCAGCCGGAGTTTTGGCAGTGACCAAAAACAGAAAATGCACATGTGAGGGTTGTTGCTTTGCAGAACAGATGGAAGATGTGCACTAACTGCTCTGGAGACTCTTGAAAGGGCACCAGATAAATCTTAAAAAATCTACATTCTGCCTTTTGGCTTATTGGAACATTCAGCTTGAAGGAATTGATTTGTAATGCTCCAGTTAGGATTAGCTGAAGGAAAGCTATTGACTCTTCAAGCCCTTTCAGTAACAAATCTCTGTAACCCTCCAAAGAGGCTGCTGTTTGGCCAGTCTTCTCCAGTTCCAGAGAAGACAGTTCATGTATAAACGCATTGACCCAGATCAGAGCACTGCAAATGGGTTTGTATTGAAACCACAGTAGCAGAGATTGCTGGGAGGACTGCAGCTCCTGGGCTGAGCTGGTGTCCCAGCAGGGAACTGCAAGTTACAGTGAGACTGGTGAGTTCCCACTGTATTGTGCATTGGCTTTGTGGGCCTGTTTTGAATGTGATGATAACCATGAAAACAATGTATAGAACCACAGAATGGCTTGGGTTGGAAGGGACCTTGAAGAGGTCCAACCCCCTGCTGTGGGCTGGTTGTCCCCCACCAGATCAGGCTGCCCAGCACCCATCCAACCCAACCTTTAACTCCTCCAGGGATGGGGCACCCACAGCTTATCTGAGCAGACTGTTCAACTGTACTGTCTAGAATTATCCAAATGTGTTAAGTATTTGAGTTTGGCCAAGAATTTGATCTCCCTTTGCTTAAAAAGAATGTGTTGAATTTCTTTTTAATTAGGCTCATTAAAGATGGTGATGTTAGCACTGTACATCTTGGTGACTTCTAATGGATCTTTCCTTTGCAAATAGGCCTGCTTTGAGAATGGCTGATGAATTGCAGCCATGGTAATGCTGCTGTGGTACATCAGGACATCTAATAATGAATCATCCATTCACGAGGCCATTTGCATTGAAGACAGTAGCTGAATCTCAACAAACTCTAGCAGGCGAGTTCATAACTGTTAGGATCCAGAGCAGGTAATATAAATAGAAACTGTGGAGTAGTCGTAGAGAAGAGTGTGCATCTGTCTTGCTCTTAGATGCTTTTAAGACATTTGGCAACAACAGACTTTTTTTTCTCATAATCAAGTAAGTGTCATATGGAATTGACTATACTTTCAGGCCATTGCTTAGTAGCATTCTTTTCCATGTTGCAATTTTAGATTTATTTTAATTTTTTTAAGCTTATCATATATCATTCCTTCCTCAAATCAATATTCAGTTATTCACTTCCATTTTCATAACAAGAGTCAATATTAGCTCCAGCAGAGATTTATTCCTTGAATCAATAAAGCAGTGTATGGCAGTGCATATTTTAGCAGGAGGGAGGCTGTGATTGCAGGATATTTTTACTGTATCACTGTATAGCAACTGGGAGACAAACAGTTAAAATAAAGGGGTTTAAAAATAGAAAGGAGTTACTGGGAGGTCAAGGGATCCCACTTTCAATTTTCAACACATCTGCTTGAACCACTAGCTGTAATTTTGTTCCTTAACTGCAAGAGCCCCCTACAAGAAAAAGTTGCTTCCATAATCCTTTTGGAAGGCAACTGTGACTGCTGATGTATGACTAGATGATACTGGAAATACTACTTCTACCTTTTAATACTTGCATGGGGAAAAGCAACAAGAAGAGCGTCGTCCCTTGATGATTCTATGATTGTTACATCTGAGGCATGTGGAGATCAATGGTCACACTTTTAGCATAACTCCACTTCTGCTTAAGCACCTCACTGAAAAGTTCTGATGTTTACAGCAGCTCGACACTCCTGATCAGAGCACTTCATGTGAACAGTGTGCCGTGCTCATTTCCCTTTTTAAGTGCTCTTTAGAGCTGGATGTGCATTCTCACATTCAAATGCAGTACAGAGTTCAGCTTGTGACTCTACAATTCAGTTTCTGCTTGTTTGGTAAAATCATAAAATGTTGCCATGGGACTCATGTTTTAAGATAAATATATTTTCTAGGTGTTGCTAGAATCATACTAAACTTTACCAGCTATGGAACAAAGGAGAAATTCGTACTAACCTGATTTTACTATTGTTGTTCACACTAAGCTGGTGTTATTAATTATTGTTATAAGCTGCATAGTAGCTGTGAGGAACCACCAATAACATCAGGAAGACTGGATATATTGTAGGGATTTTCCTCAGGCACTGAAGTCTTCTGATTGACTTTCTTCTCACTCAGTGACTGTTCTGTTCTTACCACAGTTACTGAACAGGATAGTGATAAACCTGGAGGGAGAACTTTTGTATAATGACGTGTTGTCAATATTTAAGGCGGTGCAGCTTTGGTTTATGGGGAATCCATAACCCCATGGAGTTTTGTGCGTGCTGCAGATAAAGCAGTGTTGTTCTTGTTTATATATTTCAAAATGTTTTTTTTTTTAATGAATTTCTCCCTCTGGTTATAGGAAAGTTAGAAATGCTCAAGAAATTAAATTTTAGCTCCCCCGGTCAAAAACTCTGTAAAATCCATAAAATCAATCTTGTCTTCTGAAAGCTGTTATGCTGCATTCTTTTTTTCATAATGAACATTTATAGACACACCAGTTCTTCCTGGTGAGGAAGATCACAGATTTTTCACATTTTTTTCCTCTTCATGATGATACATGTGCACATAATTCATGAGGGATGATGCCAAGCATCTTGGCTCCTGGGTATGTATCTGGGATGTCTTATGTCAAATGTCTGAAATTTCTGGTTAAATACACTTGTTTTTACAAGGTGAAGCATGTGGGTTTTGCTAACCCATGCTTTCCAGTGAACTTAAATGAAGACTGGCTGCTCATAGTTAAATTTGAACACTGTTTCTGAGAACAGTGTTTCCCAAAAGTCTCTCACCTGAGAACCCAATGTTGGTAGAAATTTTTCTGCAGTTGTTTTTTCTGACTCAGTTTCTTTCTGTGATGACACAAAAGCTGATCTTTGATAAGACTGAGAATGAAATCAGAACCTTTCTGCAACTTGTGGCTTCTTGCTTGATCCAGGACTCAAGCAAAGACCTTCCTTTGGAGGGCTGCTGTGACATTTCCCTGTGGTGGTGAGCTGAAAACTGCTGTCAGAAATTGAGCTGAATATTTATAGTGCATAAAAGCGTCGTCAGAATGAAACAAAGGGGTATTGGTTCTGTCTGCTAAAATTCTGGTATGTTGTAGAGTTCAGTTGTCTGGAGTTGATGGAATTGAGAGTGGAATCGGTCCTCAGTCAAGGACTGTGGTTTGCTACAGGTATATTCCAGTGTTACTTTTCTCTTGTTGCAGTGCACTATATTTTATCTTCCGCTGTGAGGCAGGCGAGGCAATTAGGAGTGTGATGCTATGGTAATGAGTGCACAGAGATGTTAGCAGCCTCTATATTTAGGCTGCCTTCACGTTTACACTCTAAAGTAATCACTCAAGCTTTCCTAAGTACCCTTACTCAGCTGCTGTTGGCAGCAGACATTTGAAATCTGGCCCCAGGATGCAGTCTTGGGAATTAGATATCTCTCTGTGAAATTTTTGCACAGGTCTGCATGTATTATGTTCCTTCTGAAAATTACCATTTCTCTTCTCACCCTGGCTTTAAGAATAACTGTATGCTCTGAAGAGTTGGGCTCAAAGTGACGTTTGTAGAGTGGCAGTGAGTCCATGGGGCCATGTGAGAGCCTGTGTCAGGAGTGCTTCAGAGTACAGCAGTCCACAAATGTGTTCTCCAGATGCTGCTCTACGTGCACATGTTCCTTGCTGTTAGGCCTGCTAGGGTAGCATGGCCATTGCAGTCATGTTTAGACTGGGATCTTTTCGCCTTACTTCACTGCATGACAAATGCACGGATGGAGCACCTTGTGCAGTAGAGGAGAGCTGTATTTCAGGCTCTTACACAGCAAAACTCAGGAGGGGAATGGAGTAAATGCATATAGTTAATACAGTTGCTGTTGGTAGACACAGTTTGACCTGTTCACAGTTCCTCCTGAAAGCATGGAAAAACGAAATACCTGATTTGGAGGGGCCAGCATGACCACACCAGCTGGTGATGCATTGACACAGGCTGCCCAGAGAGGTGGTGGAGTCACTCTCCTGGAGGTGTTCAAGAACGCTGTGGATGTGGCACTGATGTTAGTGGGGATGGGTTGGGGTTGGACTTGGATGGTCTTTACTAACCTTAGTGGTTCTGTGATTCTCTGATACTATGTTTGTAGCCCTTCAGTCATCTGATTAGAGGCATCAAGTAACAGTATTGAACAACGAATGCTTAGTGCACTGCATTCCTTTACCATACCTTGTCCTTGCTGAGATCTATTCCTGTAAAAGCCTTTCGTAAAGTAAAGGGGTTCTTTGCTCCAGCCAGAGCCAGCCTAGATGATTCCAAGGAGGTGCAGATAAAGGCTTCTCTCCCTGGCAGCGTACTAAGAATTAGTTTTCCTAATCTCCAAGGCTTTGTCTGAGTACAGGTGGATCATCAGTCATGACAGCTCTATGTCTCAGTTTGACTACTAAGATCTGGATGACTGCACACTTACCCTCCCCTCTTTCTGACTCTAATCTCTCCCTGTGTAGTATTAGAGAAGTTGAGGGGGGAAGAAAAGCAGTTATACTTATTCTTCCTACTTTTGGGGAGCCAGGACTTCAGTACTTTTTGTAAATGAATATTGTGACATCACATAAATGTTTGTCTGCATTGTGAGCTTTCTTGTACAGAGAAGTAGCCAACAGGGCTCTAAATTTTGGCTGACTGCTGAGGTTAAGAAGACATAAACACTTGGATGATCCTCTTCACAGTCTATTATTCCTGCCCTTTTGTATAACTGGCTCTGAAGAAGTAGGAGTCTTTCTGTTCGTAAGGAAAAAAAAAAAAGCGTGATCATCCCTGTTTGTAACAGCTGTCAAGAGCCCTGTCTGTGTAATAGCCTTACAAATGTTCTAAACAGGAAAGCAAACCAAATATTTAAGGTAAGAATATTATATACCTTACATGTGTTTTCCATCTGTAAGCCTACTGAGCATTGTTTCATCAGGCTTTGAAAGCCAAAACAAAACAAGCAGGTTAATGAAGTTGGCTTTTCCATTTTCCTTAATTGCTGTTAGGTTAATGAGATGGGGTCTTTGGACAGCATCACCATGAGACTGGAGGGCATTGTGGCATATTAAGTGATCTTTTAATTATGGAAAAACAGTTCAGCTGCAGCCTCAGAGTCACACAAGCACAAGGTATTTGGTCACATTGTTCGGAGGAGGCACCTGTAGTGGAAATCTGAAGAGAAGATGCGTCTGCTATGAAATTAGCACTTGATACATCATAACCCATGACTGCAAAAATTATTCTTCTAGTTTGTAGTTTTTTGACACAGCTTGTGCTTAAACCTGCTTACTCTTCAGCAAAGCACGTAATGGGGTTGTGAAGGCAAGCAGCCAGTGCTCAGAGCCAGAGCTGCTGCTCACCACGCGGTCGGTGTGAAATGGCAGCAAAGGGCTCTACTGCTTTGCGTTACAGCCTGTGAACTGCGTTTTGGTTTAACATCAGAAATGTTAAGTGCAGCCCATTCTCAGTACTTCACAGGTTTGGGTTCCAAATGTCAAATGCTCCAAACTAGAGTTAGCCTGAGCTGGCACTCCGGGGCTGCGCTTCTTCGTATTCCCTGCTGAGCAGGCAGGCTGCATCCTGCTCAGTTGTTTGTGTGACAGTAGCATCTAGAGGCTTCAGAAGGAATTAAAGCCCACTTTGCTAATGACTGTGCCTACATGCAGCCCCTGCCTTAAAGGATAGACAAAAAAAGAAGACATGGAAAAAAAAAAAAGATGAAGGCAGGCAAGCTGTGCACAAGCAGCCTGCTTCTCTCCTGGCACTGCTCAATGGACAGCACTCCTGGACAGCACTCCTCTGCTCTGCTCTTGGCAGAAGACATGAGTTTCTCCCAATAGTATGTATAAGCTGCAGCAGCATCCTGACCGTAGTCTCTTGCTTGGTATTCTGCTACCTCATGCTGATCTCTTGCATTGCAGATTGCCTACGCTGCAGTGGACTGTGCCAAAGATCAGAATCATGACCTGTGCAAGCAGGAGGGAGTTGATGGCTACCCCACCTTCAACTATTACAACTACGGGAAATTTGTAGAAAAATATACTGGAGAGAGAGGGGTGAGTAAAAGCGAGAGTCATCACCTGATAAAGGGAGGATGTTCTCTGCCTGTCTTGCAAAAGAATAAATGCTGTGTGGTAAATTTTTTATCATACTGAAAGAATGTATAACTGCTTCTGTTACTGACACTCACAGATGAATCACATACCGCACCACTGTGCATTTCTGCATTACAAAAATATTTGGTTTATTTTAGGAATATGAGAAGAGGAAAAAGATTTGGTAATGCTTTGTTACATATTTGATTTTTTAAGCTGAAATCTTAAGTCAGTTTGCACTGAGAGAAAGTGGAGGATGTATTACAAGGGCTGCTGCTGGGTACAGAAATGCCAGAAGATACAGGTCTTGCTCCTGTCACTTCTGGAGCCAGTTCATGCATATACTGTAAACATGCTTCAGTTCTACCAGGCTGCCAAACAGACCATTGGTTTCACAGCAGGGACAAAGCTGTCCTTTGGAGACCAGGGGAAGCTAAATGTCTCATTCTCACTGAGTCGGACTCAATCGTGTAGCTCAGGATGGATAGACCAACTGTGCCATCTAGCCAGTGGGCTGAAGTTTCATCCTTTTGTCCTGCTGTGGCCATCTAATTATACGCTATGAATACAGTGGGCAGCAATGGCATAATGTGTTCTGTAAAATGCCTGAAAATAATGAACTGATGTAGTTATTTGTGTGTTCTTTGTCATAAGCATGTGGAGAGAGGTTACTTCTCAGCAGTGATTGATTGCTGAGAGAAGCTAAGGTCTACAAGAAAAAAAACTGGGGTCTTCAGGCTATCCAGTCATTTTACTAAAAGAACCCTTTGTGAAAGTCATTGCTGCTGTTGCAGTGTGACAAATTATAGAGGAGCGTGATGGAAAAAAAGCCAGATTCTGAGGTTCTTTCCAGTCAGGATCTTAGGGAAGCCTTCATGTAACTCGGCCTCCCAATTTTCTCCAGCATTAGGACCACAGTAATTGCCAGTTTGAGGAGCTGATCCAGGCGTTGTTATGGATACTGTGTTAAGTTAAGATTGGGGATCTTTTCTTAAATCACAGAATGGCCCGGGTTGGAAGGGACCTCAAGGATCATGAAGCTCCAACCCCCCGCCACATGCAGGGCCACCAACCTCCCCATTTAATGCTAGACCAGGCTGCCCAGGGCCCCATCTGATCTGGCCTTGAACACCTCTAGGGATGGGGCACCCACTCTCTGGGCAGCCTGTTCCAGCACCTCACCACTCTCTCTGTAAAGAACTTCCCCCTGACATCCAACCTAAATCTTCCCTCCCTCAACTTAAAAGTAATTCCCCTTGTCCTGCAGTTATCTACCCTTTCAAAGAGTTGATTCCCCTCCTGTTTGTAGGCTCCCTTTAGGTACTGGAAGGCTGCAGTGAGGTCACCCCACAGCCTTCTTTTCTGCAGGCTGAACAAGTGCAGCTCCCTCAGCCTGTCTTCGTAGGGGAGGTGCTCCAGTTCCCTGATCATCTTTGTGGCTCTCCCCTGGACCTTCTCCAACAACTCTCTGTCTTTCTTGTACTGGGGGCTCCAGACCTGGACGCAGTATTCCAGATGGGACCTCACAAGAGCAGAGTAGAGGGGGACAATCACCCCCCTGTTCCTGCTGGCCACCCCTCTTCTGATGGAGCCCTGGATACCATTTGCTTTTTGAGCTGCAAGAGCACACTGCTGGCTCATGTTAAGCTTTTCATCCATCAGGACCCCTGGTCCTTCTCTGTAGGGCTGCTCTCAAGGACTGCTCCTTCCAGTCTGTAAAGTAAAGTTGGGTGCAGTAACCAACAAATAAGTACAATTTCAGCTGCAATCTTCATATTTCTAACCTCTGCCTACAGAAATGATATGTGAAAGATATGCGATAAAAAGAATTTAGCAAGACAGGAGTGCTCTGAGACCACAGCAGTTGGGAGATGATTATCCCAGTGCCAGAAAGTAGACTGACTAATACTCTGCATGCAGCCAAATATTTATTGGCTAAAATTAAATTACCAAACAAGAACATCACGTTCTCTGCTGCTGACAGCTGTATTCCATTTCCCCCTCTCAGCCCCATGGTCTTCTGCTTCTGCAGCATCAATTAGGTTTTGTTATCTCCAGTGGTGGCAGTGCTTTGCACAGTGCCTTCCGTGGAGCCAGCTGTGTTCACACATCTGTTTCAGTAACAAAGCATTGTTCTGTAAGGGACTTCTCATGAGCACGATGGCATCTTTTGCACCACCTTGGCCAACTACCTTGTACCTTCCAAAAGAAGGCACTCGACAGCTTTAGAAAAACAGTCTTGACACAGTTGTTGAAATACAAAAGTTGGTGTCTAGGCATCCAGATTTAAAATTTTGACTGTAATTTTCATAATATTTTGAAAAACTTCATCTGGATATGTGGAGGAGGAGAGAAGTAATTAGCAAAACTGTTATGGGACGAGGAGTGGTGACAAATAGGTGTATAGGCAACAAACAAGCCACAAACAGATTTCAGAATGACACAAATAGCTTACAAGTAAGGAAGGAGAATTCTTTGATCAGTTTCAGCAAAAAGGCATATGTAGCATTTCTGGGGGCAGTTTTCAACCTTCTGTGAGAGCCAGGGTCTTTCTGTGCCCCATCTCTTCACAGTTTCTTGTGGAAAATGTTGAACTGTGGAATCTCTGTGGATATTTCTCCTTGCCTTTTAGCAGAGCAGCACAGGGCCAGAGTACTGCATGATGGAGCAACGCAGAAGCAATAACCATTCCTTAGTTGATAGTGTGCCAGCTTCCATTGGCTGTTGGACACAGAAGCTAAAAGTGTTCTTGGCGTGCAGTTCTGGTTGTGGATTTGTTCAAAAATTATATATATATGACCCATATATTTTTTTCTTCTAAAACAGGAGGCCGGATTCACCACTTTCATGAGGACCCTTAGAGAAAGAGACCATGAGAGAGTAGGAAAGAAGAAGGATGAATTGTAATGTCTGCCTCAAAAGAAGCTTTCCGCTGCACTGTGAATGGTTCCAGGTCTTTTGTTAATACACCTGAGACTTCACACGTTCTCAAGACAGAGACTTTTTTTATAAACAGCCATGGCCATTTTGTACAATTTTGAAATAAAGTGAAACCACTTGATTTTTAAAAGGAAAAAAAAAAAAATTTGAATGTTGCCATAATGTTTTAAAGAAAAACTTAGCATTTTCTCTCATGTTGTGAGACTATGCCCACTGACACTCCTATGCAATATTTTTGTAGTCTATAGTGTGTCTGTAGGTGTTTGATAAGGTGATTTTTTTTTAAAGGTATTGCAGTACATGTTTAACAAAACAACAATGAGGGGGGAGGGAGGAGATGACACTTTAAAAAAAAACAAAACAAAAAACAACAGTAAAGCAAAGTGGACTTGCAAGACACAGATTATCCAAATGCAGTTTTATATTCTTTTGAAATACTTACATGTTCTTCGGTGAGATTTGGGAAAACAATATTAAGGTGCTCAGGGATAGATAAGGTGTTTGAGTTAAGACATTATCATTGGCCAATCCAGATCTATAGATTTCATTTCAATCTCTCTACCAGGACTGTTTACATACCTCTATAGAATGTATTGATTTAATTGACTCAAGTATCAAAAGCCTACAAAGCATGGGTAAAATTAAACTAAGCCCTCCTTTTTGACATCAGTATTGACAAATGCCTCTGTATGTTATGGTAGGAGCAATGACCTTATGGGATATACAGTTACCCTTGTAGGGTATACAGCCTCCCTTCAAGTTTTGACTGGGCCATCTGAAACATTTGTTGGAAAATGTTACATTTAAATGTTTTGATAAATGCATACTACTTCTGATAATGCAGTAATTATATACATTAATGTTTACATTTCAAAAGTTTATCCACATTTGTATGTTGGAGAGTTTCTTTCTGCTCTTGAAGGAGTTGCATACACAATCTGTTAGACAAAACCATCCCTGTAAAAGCTGGATTAGCAGCAGTTGACATGTTAACACCTGATGGTTTTGTTTTTTTTTAAAAAAAAAAAGATTTTCTGGAGGTACTTATGCCTTTTACAGGAGGGGAGCAAGAGAGGCAAGAAGTTGTGATTCACTACAAATAAATCTGAAAAAAGAAAGTTACTTTTATTGTTGATCAGCCTTGTTCAGATTCTTCTGTGTTGGGTTGTCCAAGAGAACACCCACAGGCAGTGGTGGAGTAGGCATCTGCAGGATGGATGCCCACTCTGTGCTGGGGGTGGCATAGAGTCTGGCTGTGCCAGGATCTGCATCCATCCACCTTCACACTCAACAGCAGACCAAACAGCTTTTCGCAATGAAGCAACATGCCTCGGCTCTGTCATCTTCCTTTTGCTCCTCAGTCTGCCTGTTTCATTTTCTATTTCGAATGTTTGAAGGCACTGTTAATGGACAGCACATCACTGTGCTGCCCAGGAGGTGCATGGCAATTCACCTCCATTCTGGATCTGTTTTTGTCCTTTCTCTCACCCAGTGAATGGCCCTGTGCAGTTGGCACTTCGTTAGGCTGCTGCAGCCTGCTGCAGCCAGTAGTGAGTAATCTGGAATACCAGTAGCCTTATGGCCTTGTATGGTAGCCAGCTTGTTAACCGTGACTTAAATTTAAAAGTGGTGGAGCTGTGCCAAGTGTTTTCTCTTTTTAGGCACCTTCTGTCTCTTCACTTAGCTGTCCGGTCATACCTAATATCCTAGGGTGAAAGGAGCTTAATTTATTAAGAGTCTTACTGGTTTTTTTTTCTTTCCTGTTAGCAAGATGCTTCATGTTGCGTTCAGTGCTTTTGCATAAAGTCATGATAGTTTTTCCAAGCCAGCCTCATCTTGGCAGCAAGTGTTCCACCCTGCACTTAACAAGTAATATGTACTGATGCCATTGGATTTGAAACAGGAATTTCTTTGCTTACCGGCAGACAACTGAGAACGATAGTGCAGAACTTCCTGCAATGTTTTTGATCTCAGAGTCAAAGCAGCTGGCACTAAGGAGGCAAATAGTCTCCAGAACTGCTTGTAGGCTGTGCCTGTGTTTGTGCTAATTGCTGAGAAATGCGGACTTCTTTTGAAGGGAAGAAAATAAATCATTGCTTGCCAATGGTGACATCACTTGTCAGCATCATTCTGAATTGCAGGCTTTAGTAAATGTTTAGGATAGGACAATTGCACACTGTGCTTCAGACCCATAATTCCTTACAGCTGGTTACACCATAATAAAATTTAAATTAAGGATTCTCGTTTTTCCCTTCAGTCTTTTGTCAGTTACTTCTTGGCCTCGGGCTTTCATTTTTTTCTTGGCTAATCATGTGTTAATGCACAAATATAAAATATTTGAGAATAATTTACCTTCTGTTATGAGGTTGTGATTCATCTGGTTTACAGCTTGAATTTATTTTTTTTTTAATCCAGTTTTGAACACCACAAAATCCAGTTTTGAACACCACAAACAGTTACATCAAATGGCTGATGTTAACCTTAGTTACTGTGAGCTGCAGTGTGCCGTGAGCTGGGAGCTTTACTTCCAAGGTCGTTCAATTAGTAAAACCAGGTTTACACTCAGTTACAGTGTTGTAATTCTGATGTCTCCAGTAAAACAAAAGTTAGTATTTGTATTTGCTAATGTAGCCAGTTTGTTTATATTTGCGTCAGTCAAATTAAGTTGAAATTGATTATTTTTGCATGAACTGTGAATCAGAAGTATCTAATATGTAAGAGCTCTTATTTTGTCTGAAATGACCAACTGGTCCAACATGCTCAGACTTACCAGCCAGTCCTGGGAGATGCATGACCTCAGCATTTGTAATCACATGGGAATTTCTGCCATGGTTCAAAATGGCTAGTCTGATGTTTCAAATCATGAATCATTTATCAGCAAGAAACTTGCTGATAACAAATGGTTTGGAGTGAATCAGTGTTCTATTCTGGATGAGTTTGGTCTTTCAGCCCTTCTAAGATGCTTGATATTTGCTACACAATTAATCCTAAACAGATTGAATCTTGTTGAAGAAGGATAAAACCTGTACACCAGCAGAGGTGTTGAACAAGGGGTGTGCATGGCTTCACTCCTCAGCACAAGATACAACAGCCCACTCGTCTGTGCTAGACCTGTTGTTAGACCAAGAAATTATTGGCAGAAAGAGCAGATACTTATGCAGACTGGTAGCAGCTGCATAGGAAGTGGTTTTCCTATCTAATGAAAGAGCCTGAGATGTTTGTTGGATTACTTTCATCCCACAAGCGAGTGGAAAGGGAGTGAGACAAATCTAAAATGTATGAATATGTGTGCAAGTCAGGTCGGAGTCCCAAGTCTGGGTTGTATTGTTGCCCACTGCAACCCCAGTAATGCCTTGGTCTCTTCTTGTAAGGGGTTGTCCATCCAGCTCTGACCCAATAAATATCCTTATTTCTTTAAACTAGAGCAACTCCTCCAGATGAGAACAGACTTGTTTTCTGATTGGAATGAAGAACAGACTGCCCAGGGAAGTGGTGGAGGTTTTCAAGAACCGTGGAGATGTGGCACTGAGGAACATAGAGGGCACGGTGAGGATGGGTTGATGGTTGGACTGAATGATCTTAGTGGTCTTTTCCAACCTTAATGGTTCTATGATTCAAAGAAAAGCAAACTTAGCAGATCTTCATGTCCTCCTTCTCCCTCCTGTAGAATTGCATTCTGGATCTGATAGTCCCGTTGACCCCTAATGCCCTCATAACCAGATGCAGTTGTGTAAAACAGCTTTGGGAATTTTGTAAATTCCCACTCAGCCCAAATTAGGCCCACACATTTTGCTGGCTTAAATGTAGCAATTCAGTAAGACGGATTGATAATGATGTTTTGGTTTTTTTTTAAAAAAAAAAGAGATTAAACAGTGTATGTTCTTACAGTATTTAATTTGGGAGTAAAAAAGGAGATGCAACTCCCGTGTGAGTAAGCTCTAAGTGAGTGCTTCCAAGGGAGCCTCCTTTCAGATGGGATTGCTTCCTGGCTGGTTTTATTTTTTTAAAAAGTTCACTGCTTTTCAGAGGAAAAGTCAAGACTGAGTGACTCAGTCTACAAGTCTATTTTCCTTTTAAAAATAAAAAGCAAAATTGCTCTCCATATTCTTGATAGTGTTATGTTAAGAGAAAGAAATGTTGCTTTTATGGATTTCCTAGAATAATACTCAACCCCTGCCAACTGCATTTTACAAACTGTGAAGCAAGCCATTCGCTCAGAATGATGCTCAGTGGAGCAGAGACTGTTGTCCACGTGCATCTCATTTTAACTTAATAGGCTTACTTCAGTGTGATTGGGTCTGTAATGTTACACTGGGATCTGCAGGAGTGCATTCTGGAAATGGGAAAAACGAGATTTATCAGCAGGTGCTGAGCACTGGGGCCAAACGCTGGCATTTCTTTGCCTTTGGCAGCCCAGTATCAGTGAATGCTTGGTGCTTTGCTGGAAGCAGCAGAGCTGAGCCCCAGGGGTGCAGCCCTTTGGCTGAGGCAGTTGTGTACAGAACTGATTGGAAATCTAAACTCCCTGTTATTATTTTTTGTGGCTTGTTATGAGAAGATGCTGTATATTTTCTCTGTGCATCCTGCTTTTATTTACTGGCTGAGAAGAGAGTACCTGGGTGTTTCTACAAAGGGATTCATTGCCCTAATGCTAGCCCATGGGTGTCCAACCTTCTGTCTTGCTTGGTCCACATTGGGTGTCTAGAACTGCATCTACAAAGGTTGCTTCAAACTTAATGCCTCCTAATTATTTCCATGGAAACTACAACTGATACAAAGAGCACAGTAACATTATTTAATAGAGCAAATTCTCAGCTACAAAACACTATTTTTTTCCACATATTGACCACCATCAGCTCTGCATTTTCACCAGTGATGAACGAGAGCCTGCATGCTGTGCTCATAACAATCTGCACCAGCAGAGGTGACCCACTGCTGCTGTCACCACTGCTGAAACACATCACCCAACAGCTCCGTGTGCTCACATCCACTGTTTGGTCTCCAAAAGCTTTCAGCAAGCATTGATAGATGTCAATGGTTGCAATTTTTTATGCAGAAAATGTAAAAATAGTATTTGTGAACTTGTTTTTGTGTACCTAATGTATCAGACTTGTTCAGTGGCAGTAGTTGCAGTTCTCAATGAGCTCTCAGGTGTTCATCAGAGATTTTTGATGAAATTTTACTCTTCCCGTGCTTCATTCTCAAAATCAGTTGTTCACAAATGTATGTACTGCCAAAAAGCAATGACACGAATAAGATGTGATTGTGAAGCGAGGGATGTTTCTCTCTGGTAAGAGAGGACTTATAAAAGTATGGTAAAGAGACGTGATCAAATTTTTGATTGCAACTCTATATGTTCCTTTTGGAAAATTCACAAGTGATGTTCTTAGGAAAATTGAGTCACAAATAAAAAAAAAAAGATTATTTTTTCAGCAATCTTGAAACCTATTCTCAAATTCCTTTATCAAAAGGGAAAGCATGGCTGCATGATTTTTTCGCAGGATATTAAAATGCATAAACTTATTTGCCATAACTTGAGCTGGCACTGGACTGCACCCCATGCCCTGGCTCAGAAAGCATCACAGTGCTAATTATTCTCATTAGCTTTCGGACACTGATAATTTATCCTTCCTACTGCTCTTGAGTCACTCAGTAATGAGCACCAGTTAGTCACATGTGGCAGAAACTGCTCCCTCCCTCTTTATGATTCCTTTTAAGCATTCATCACAGGAAGAAAGCTCCTATATGAACAAAATCTTTTCAAATGAGTCTCTGATGCCCCACTTAAGTGGGTGTCTACATTGCAGGCATGCAGAAGAGCCTTCTTCATTAATAAGAGCAATTCTGCGTGAGCTGATTAGCTCTTGCAGCTCATTTGGTAGCAAATGTGTAAATCCGTCACATTCTAAATGCCAAATATGTGCAGAGTTCAATGATGGAGAAGGAGGAAATGTACAACAGTCGAGGCTTTACTTGAAAAAAGAGGACCTTATCCCATGCATTAGATTGGAGCTCTGGATCTATCTGGAGCATTTGTCATTCCTCTGCTGTGTCATTCTTTTTCCTTGCAATATTAATAATTCTTCCCGCTGCTGTGATGGTCCTTTAGCGTGTGTGGGTGTTTAATTTTGTGCCTAACGTTTGTAACAGACACCTGATAGCTGGTCTCAATTCCCATAAAACAACAACAGCCGAATCGACGCAGCCTTCCTTGCACAGCCCGTGAAACCAAATTAATCAGTTGCTAACGCTGCATTATTAATGACTCAGTCACCATCGCTTTTCTTGTCCTTTTTTGTTGGTGACAAACTTAGGAAGGGAAAGGGAAAAGAAGACTGAGCAGCCAGTTACACAATTGGTGCTGTAGTGTTCCTACCGATGAGGAAAGGCACTACAAAATCATCATACCTGCACAGAGAGAAGCTGGCTTACTGCTGCAGACAGTGAGTTAATCCAGAACAAAACAAGAAAATTGGCCTGAAAAGCTCATTTATGCATGATTTTATTTCTTTTCTTGCTGAGAACCTGCAGAGCTAACCCAGCTCAGAGGCCTGGACATTCTGGCATGGGGCAGTCAGGCAATCCCTACTCACGTTACTCTATTAATATGGGGGAAATTGTGGCACGGACCCAGCTGGATCTCTGACCAGAGCAAGATTTGGGCTCCATCTTCTGCCATATAAATCATATGCGTATATAGGATCATACAGAATGGCTTTGGTTGGAAGGTACCTTAAAGATCATCTCGTTCCAACTCCCCTGCTGTGGGTAGGGTTGCCAGCCACTAGATCAGGCTGCCCAAGGCCCCATCCAACACAGGCTATGGGGACAGAACTTCCCATGTCCTGAAGACAGGGGTTCTGCAGGCTATGCAGGTGGCTGTGAGAGCTGTGAGCTGGTTTGGGGCTTCTGGGATGAGTTGGGGCAGGAGTGAAATAAGGGAAAATCTCAGAACATCTTTTTGGTGAATTGTTCAGTGGCTGGCTAGCAACAGCCCTCCCTCACAGCTGCGTGAGGCTGAGTGCTTCTTCTCCTCACACTGCATTTCTGTTCCATCAGACATCATGACTGCCAGCTTTATTTTCTCTTTCCAGCAGCTCTATTGCTGGAAGCCAGCTTTCTCCAAACTAAGCATAAACTACTGCATACAAGATAACAGTTCCTAGGAAAATGTGGACTGTTGTAATGACCTACATCATCCTATAATCTCCAGGTTGCTGGTGAGGAGGAGTTTGCTTATGTTCCCTGCT